TTATTCTGTAATGTTTTCAGCTGTGACTTGCCGGTGGAATAGGAACCGGACTGACGCTCCCCAGAATAGAAGGAGCTAGGTCCATTTAAAAAAAAGAAAAAAGAAAAGAAAAGAATGGAGGTTCCACTTTCAGAGGAGAATAGATCCAGTTTCCGAGAATATGACAACCTTCTTTCACCTAATATGCCCAGAGTATCTACAAAAATGCTAATATCCGAAGTTGTGAAAAATATATATATATTTTTTTTGCAGAGATTTGACGAAGCGCTACTTGATTCAGTAATAATCAATCAATCAATCAATCAATCAAATAATCAGTCGATCAAGCAAGCTGGCTCCTTGATTGGGCAGATCCTCTGATTGAGAGGTCCGCTTCGATACCAAACTGTTGCATACTGTAACGGTACAGACCAGAACAAGAACCGACCTCTCTCACATAATACAGTATAGCCCAGCGGAAGGCTAAAATACCAATGATCCGACCAATCAATGTCGCAATGCAGACCCAACATACATCATCATCATCGCAATGTGTGAAGGGGCCTGGCACTATACACAGGAAGAGTGCGCCAGGCTCCAAGCATACATAGATGAAGAGGAGGGGGATTAGACAAAGATGAGGGAGGAGATGGAAATGTCGTCACACCAGTGTCGTTGGTATCGATCCCAAATAGTCCCTCGTCAATGTCTCTGTCCCAAAGTTGAGTCTGTATCCAAATGTCGTCAACATCCCAAAGTCACGAATCTCTCTCTCTCTCTCTCTCTCTCTCTCTCTCTCTCTCTCTCTCCCCGGTACTAACGTGTGAAGGTGGCACCTTGTTGCAGGTACATCGAAGGCGAAGCTGGAGCTATGGCGCCACAGGTAAGCTACCAGGTAAGTCTCCCTGGCCTCCGCCACTTTCCTCTCTCCCAACGCTACTCTAAGATCCTAACAGCGCCCAGCGCTGAAGACTACTCCTATCGCTAGCTACTACTACTCTAGCGCTCCTGCAGAGTGCTGCTGGCGAATCCTGAAGACTCCTGAACTGCCTCCTGAACTGCCTGCAGCCTGCAGGGCGGACCAGTACTATATTATAGTGGTGGTCTGGCTGGGAGGCTGCTCTTGCCAATGCTGAATCGTGCCAGACCCTGGCGCTGAAGTTCAAAAAAAGGTTGTCTTGAAATGGGCCTAAAAGTGGCCTGCGCTTATCCCTGGTCTGGCGCCTAAGTTTCAGGAAAGGGCGACTTTATGAGGGCCTGAAAATGGCCCTCCTTTTTAGGCTTTTAGGCTGAAACGACACAGGGCCCGGAGGGCCCTTATTCTGCCTGGTCGGGCCCTGCAGGCCCATGTGGTGCGCAGTATGCCACATAAGTCCAGGTAAGCTTCCCCTCATCTCCTGTCAGTCTCACAGCCCCGATCCTCGTCCTCCTTGCCAATCCCCAGTACCTAGTCTACAGCTATGGAGGCTATGGCCGCGCCAACATAATCTCCCTCTAAGCTGTCGCCCTCCAGCAGTATCTGGCGCCAGCGTCTCTCTCCAGCAGTCTCGCGTAGCAGCACTAGCATTGAGCCAGTGCAAGGCAGAATGCCTTCCCCAGTGTCTGACCGTCCTTTTGTCGCATTGACCAGTGTTTACTGGTGTGGACCAGTCTCCCATTTGATGGTGTCGACGCTTCAGATTTGCCCGATCTCAACGTTCGAGATGCAGTCAGGACTGGAATCTTCCGGATACCTGCAGACAACCATTGATGTGCATCTGATCTATGGCTGAGGCTGACTACTGGGTTGACTTTGACTTTGGGCCTGCTTTTCCCGTGCTCGGTCTTACTCTTGATTTTCCAAGAGTCAACTACTTCACGTGGGGCCTCTGACTGTTGTTTTTGACTCAGCCCTGAGTACCCCCTGACCGTAGGCCCTTTCACAGGCATTTCTCAGACTCGGGGCGTGACTTTTGCCCTCTGTTTCAGCCTTTTGACCAAAAGTTACGACCCATGCCTGCGGCTATGAGGTTCTGAACTGAGTTTATTGCACATCTGTCTCAACACCGTTCTTACCATTCTGCCTTTTTTTCAGAAGGGCGGCGGCCTTGAGATATGATCGTCGGACTGGCGGGCCCCAGGTAATTCAGAATTGCAGTATTTTATTCATGTGCTTTCAGTGGAGTTCGAACTCAGGTCTGTGTTTCAAGTTCCGAACAGGTCAAGGGTGTACCAACTGAGCTAGGCCAGCCGATATTCTGCTACGATTTCCGTCTCTACCATGAGTCAAAATTCCATCCACATGTCCTGGAAAGAGGTCACCTTTGGACCGTTCAATCGAGAGCTCCAATCCAGTTGAAGCTGAGTGAGCACCAATTTGACAGAAGCATGCGGCCACATTTACACAGGTCGCATGCTGCGGAGTGCATTTTCACACAAGAGAGAGACACGAGATCAAATCATCCGATCGTCCAGTCGCCAAACACAGATAGAAGGATGGTAAGGGAAAAGAAGTGAGAAAAGAGACTCATTAGGTGCGACAATCTTCTTCCATTGGGCATGGAATACATGGAAGACCTCGACTAGCAGCGTCCCAACAATCCAGTTGCTTCGATGAAAAACTCCCTCTGAACACTTCCCCAAGTAACAGCCGTGGGCAACATTTGACAGCATTGAAATATGAATAGGAGGCGGCAATTACGTGAGGAGAAATGATGATTGTGAGAGGATGGGGAGATGACATATATCCAATCTTTTGTTCTTCTTCTTTTTTCTTTCTTTGTTCTTCTTCTCTTTTCTTTCTTCGTTCTTCTCCTTTTTTCTTTCTTCGTTCTTCTTCCTTCCCTTTGGCTAATTCCACTCCTTCTCGAGTTGAAATGTATGGTATGATCTCAAAGTCGAGTCTTGCATTATGAATTGAGCAGGAAGAATGATTGACGAGGAGGCACATGTGGAGGATATGTTTCCTGAGAAGAAGGTGATTCATTTTCTCTCGTATGTTGTTGATATGGAATGCCTGTCCTGTGCAGACGGTTGGCTTATGATGCGTTTTGAAGCTCCCAACTGGAGTGACAAAGTTCAGACAAACAGCATGCTGCTTCTTTCTTTCTTCCTCCTTCCTTCCCGTTGTCTAATTCCACTTCTTCTCGAGCTGCAATGTACAGTATGGTCTCAAAGTTGAGTTCTGCATTATGAATTGAGCAGGAGCGTAGCAGAATACCATTGAGGAAGAATGATTGACGAGTAGGCACATGAGATAGGGTGGGTTTCCTAAGAAAAAGCCTCAAAAAGGTGATTTCTTTCTTTCTTTTTTTTTTTTCTTTTTTTTTTTTTTAAGAGGAAATCATCTGAAAACGGTTTTTTTCAAACTTTTTAGTAACTTTTCTTTTCCAGCGCATAAGCCGCACTGGAACTTGCCACTGAAAATGAAACATGAGCTGGAAATCCAATGTAAGTGAATTCTGACGCAAAATTTTGTAGGGGATGTTACGGAAGTGCCTAAATAAGTGGATCACTTACTAGAGACCTATGCTAACTCAGACTCTTATGAGTTCTTCTCAAATCCCTGCCTTCTTCACTTTCTCGATGGACAAACGGACAGGTTATAATCTCCTCGCTTCATGCACTATTTAACCAAAAAAAAACATTTCACAATCAAAGGCCTCTTGACTCAATCTTAATTTTCCCGGCCTACTTTCTCGAGCCCATCGGATGCTACCAGTATCGGCCACAATAAATGGCCTTGCCAACCCATAGCCTGTATCTCCGGTTCGCTTCCGTGCAGAGTTAAGACGGTTCACATCCGTGCAGAGTGAAGACGGTTCGCTTCCGTGCAGAGTTGGATCAGAAGAGAGAAGTACTGAGCTTGGCCTGTATCCATCTCTGTCTTCCCTTGTCCTCTGCTGTAGTCCTCGTCTCTATTGAGGCGCCACAAGCGATCACAGAATCAAACACAAACCAGAGATCCTACCTGTCATGGGAGGACTCGTGAACTATTCCGAATGCCGCTTGTCCTGCGATGAGCATTCTTTGGCACTGTTAATAACCTTGGAGTGACCTTGTGCCTGCATTCAATAGCCAACGAGCCTGTCACGTGGTAGAGCGACCCTTCTTTGCACCCCTTTGCACGCTTCCCCCCCGCGTTCCCCCCAAACACCCGTCACCCCGCGCGTCCCCCCACGCGTCCCCCCACGCCCTCCTTGCCCTCTGTTGTAGCACTGTTCGTAACCTTGGACTGATGTTGCACCTGTATGCAACAGGCCATGAGCCTATTGGAGTAACCCTATTGTGCACGCCTAAGGTGATTTCTTTCTAAGTAAGTTGGTATGGCATGTCTGTTCCTGTGCAGATGGACGGTTTATGATGCGGCTGAAGCTCCCAAATGGAGTGATAAACAGCAGACAGACTCGGTTCCTTGCAAACTGTATCAAGAAGTATGGTCCAAATGGCTGTGCTGATGTCACAACCCGTCAAAACTGTCAGATCAGGGGTGTGGTGAATGAAGATGTTCCGGCAATTCTGAAAGGGCTTTCACAAGTTGGCCTGACGTCCTTGCAGAGCGGAATGGATAGCGTCAGGAATCCAGTGGGCAATCCCCTTGCAGGAATCGATCCATCCGAGATCATTGATACCAGGCCATACAATCAGGCGCTGAGCAATTATATCACCGGAAATGGAACCGGAAATCTCGAAATCACAAATCTGTAAGGTTCCCTCCCCTCCCCTCCGCTCCCCTCCCCTCCGATCCCCTCCCCTCCCCTCCCTCCCTCCCCCCCCTCACCCCGGCCCCCGGAATATACTAGTCTTAGTAGTCTAGCAAATCTGTAAGCCTTTCGCATTACTGTATCCAGTACGATCTGAAGTTTGAACCCTAGACCTCATGATCAGCAGTTCGGGTGTGTACCATTCAGCCGCCTAAGGAGAACATCAGCTGCGTCCTTCTCCCTGCCTTCGACAGGTGGTGCTACTGAATTGCATTAATTAACCAGGGTTTGAGCTCTTGACCTCTCGATCAACATTCGGGTGTGTTGCTCTTCAGCACTCACGCAAGAGCTGAAATGTTTAGATCCCGATGTAATGGTAAGGAGGTTATTATGTAATGACCTAACCAAACACGGACTGAGACACACAGCTGATTTCTGATTTTTGCTCATGGACTGAATGCCTTGCTGAGTTTCCCGCTTGTTACTGAGTTCTCTAAGTCTGTGTGTGTGCACACTTACTGGTCTGCATGTCCGTCTGAGTGCTTGTCGGCTTGAGTGTGTGTGTGACCCGCAAGAGCACTTGTTCATTCAGTGAGCCCAAAGGGCCGGTACTTACCTGTGGCCGTGACGTTGAGGATTGCAGCGGGGAAAACACTCAAGTGGCGGGGAAAGAGGCCCGCGACACTTGAAACAGCGGAAAACACTCAAGTAGCATGTAGGCCTGTACCACACCAGTTAAGGTAGATGTGCTGGGTACTCGAGATCGAGCAGAAGAAGACAAAAGTTGGCATTTTTAGAGGTCCAGTAGTTGTAGGCTTGGTCTAGGCAGGTACCAGTCCAACCAGTCTGAGTCTAGGGCCTGTACGGGCAATATCAGAGTCTGCACCTATGTTTCCCTCCGAAAGGGAGGATATACCGGTTGCTTGAGGCTGCGCGGCCTAGGAAGTCACTCGCCAAGAGGCAAGCAGGCCGCTATATCTCCAGGAGGAGCCAGTTGCTCCTCCGCATTGTCGGTGTGCAAGTTTGGCGACACACTGGTCCGAGCGCTGGCTGGAGTGGTGCTAGCATCAGCTGCACTGCTGGGGAAGGAGCAAGGGCACGGAGGAGGAAGAAGACCAGGACTAGGAAGGGGAGTGCCAGAGGTACTTACCTGGCTATGGTGGTTGCCATCGTCATCACCTTGGTGGGCACTGCAGCAGGAAGGCTTTGTTAGAGGAGAGCTATACCAAGAAGCTTCGAGGCAGAGTCAGGCATGGCGGCCTGAGCTAGAGCAGCCATAGGTGCTTTGTGTTGTCCTTTGGACAGCAGGGCGATGCCCTGGTAGTCCGCCGTAGCCTCGGCCTATGAGAGAGAAGAGGAAGAGGGGCGGCCATGGCTATGGTGGACCTCAAGTGATACCTGTACTAAAAGAGGGAATCGGACATTGATTCTGGACCAGCCATTCAACATTGTTGTTATTATTCTTGTTTGAATAAGAGGGGAGAAGATAAGGAGGAGGAGGATTGTTAGGCGAAGAAGAAGAACATTATCATTGGTCTATGCTGGTGTACATCATCTTCTTCTTCTTCTTACCCTCTCTCTCCTCTCAAGTTCATTCATTTCTATTTGCAATTGGACGGTATTGTACTTTCTGATGAATGTGTACTTGAAATTGGCCACGATCATAACAATTACACAAAACAAGAAGGGGAAAAAAAAGAGAGGTTATTGTTATCAGTGTACATTGGCAAGTTTGCATAGCAGTTTACCAGCGGTTTTGCTTGCAGTTTGGTCTTCACTTTCTCACATTAACAGTAAGTTCATATTTTTTTTTTTACTCAATGAGAATAGGCTAGCATATACACAAAAGTCTGTGAAGAGCAATTCTGTAACAAGGTGGATACAGGGCAGTGAGGCTGGGAGAGGGAGGGAGAGTGAGAGCACACACACACACTCACTCAACTCAACGCAGACTCGACACAACTCGACAGACGCAGACACAAAGTGGCAAAGTCTCAAAGTCGCAGTCTTGGATTCCTGAACACAATGTTGAAGCATATTCACACTGAACACAAGCAATGAGGCTGAAAACTGGTTGCCCGTACTGGGCTTGAGTCCGGTCTTAAAAACTGGAGTCAAGTTCAGTCCCGAGGGCAGAAGTGCAAATTGCCTCAGGGCTGAACTGAAAATCGAAGGTCTGAGTCTGGGCGCCAGAATGCCGGATGGCGCCAAGTATCCAAATCCGAAAGTGCCAAAAGAGGAATTTGAGAACGGGCACCAACTGCAGAGGGTGCCAACTGTCAGGGGCCTGAGAACAGAGAGTCAGAAACCCAAAAATGAAATAGCAGCCTCGCGGGTGGTAACCCGTGGACCAGGGATCAATACCTGGCTGAGTCCGTAACACTATCCCCTCCCTCTGGAAGGCAACGTCCTGGCTGCCATAGACCTGATAAACAACCGTGAAGGATGGGACGGGGCCGATCACTGGTCAGAAAGGAAAGGGGGAGTAATGCAAGTAACAGGGTAATCTTACTTCTGTTCTACAAGTGTGAAGGTATCAATGTTCAGTTAACAGAGTAGTTGAGGTGCTACAAGGGTGAAGTAACAGGTAACAGTGCAATACTATTGATGTTCTACGGGGACGAGGGAATCAATGCTCAAGTAACAGGGTAATCCTTTTGAGGTTCTACAAGGGTGAGGGTAGCAATGTTTAGGTAACAGGGTAGTCCTATTGAGGTTCTACAAGGTTGAGGGTAGCAATGTTCAAGTAACAGGGTGATCCTATTGAGGCTCTACAAGTAACAGGGCAGTCCTATTGATGTTCTACAAGGTTATAGGTTGTCAGGTTTGAGAAAAAGAAAAAGAAAAATAGTTTGTTCGATGCTCAAGGGCTGGGGTGTCTGAGGAATCTGGGGAGAAGAAAGTCTCAGGTCTGTAACAAAGTGTCAAAATGCGAAAAATGTCTTGAGGAAGGTCTTCGGAGGTCTTGATCAGATCCAGGATAGGTGAGAGAACCGGTCTTCAGCAGCTCCAACAGGTAGTTGTCGAATGTCCAAGCTGCGGGAAAACGAAGTAGGAGTACAATTGTCCAAAGTCCAAGTACTGGAGTACGTCCGGTCCATGAACTGCAAGGAGGTCTGATCCTGTAGCAAGGAAATCGTAGACTGATGCAAAAGTCCAGATCACACGCCGCTGCTCCAGTAAGTCCGTGAGTCCAGATGCCGACCAAGGAAACAGCATGGTGGCCAAACCAGCTGCGTTATCTTCATGATCATGAGGCAGCAGGCCATCGTCCTCATGCGCTTGCCATTAGATCCTTTATCGTCAGCGTCATGCAGGTCCACAGCCATTAGTCAAGAGAGACAGAGAGTGTGGTAGAGGACAGATGGGACGGACTTAGGCTGAGGCAAGGGCGGATCAGACAGTGAGAGATCAAGATCAAGGGGAGCGGTTAGGCTGGGTTCAGGGGTGGTGTGTGTAGAGTAGGTATGTACAGGTCAAGGCATAGGCAAGTAGATAACTATGAGACAGGGTGGGTACGATCATAGGCACGGACGAGTTTCATGGTGTTCTTTAGATTTGCAAGGGGTTCCCATGTTGATTCTTCGTCTGGGTATCCTGTCCATTTTACTTCGTATTCTCTGATAGGCTCGGGGTGGTTGGATACTTGAGTTGTTCTACGGTCGATGATCGACTCCACAGAGAATTCAGGACCAGTGGGGAGCATGATAGGTGCTGGACAAGGATGAGGGCGATCAGAGAACTGAGGAGGTGATTCGTAAAATTCTTTCAAGTATTCTACATAGAAGACAGGATGGACACGGTTCATGTCAGGAGGGAGTTGGAGCTTGTAATTTAGAGCGGATGTTTTTCAATGATGGGGAATGGACCGAGCCACTTGTTCGAGAGTTTCTTGGACAAGCCTTGTTCAGGACCAAAGCGTTTGGCGGAGAGCCAGACTTTGTCCCCAACATGGAAAGTGACGTCACGACGATGTTTGTTTGTTTGCTTGGCTTGTTGTTCCCGACTTCATTGAATAGATTCAGTGGCTTCTCTTAGGAGGCGGTTCATTGTGGCAACCCATTCATTGAGAGAGGGACATGGAGTAAATGGGTTGAGCTGCGAGGGGAGCAAGAAGTCAGAGGGCAGGCGAGGATGCTAGCCAAGGTCGAGGTAGAAAGGACTGATGTCATTGGAGGGGCAGACAACGTTGTTGTAGGCGATCTCAACAACGGAGAGGAGCTGGTCCCAGTCGTGCTGATGGGGATGACAATACTTCCAGAGGATGTGCTGGAGAGTATCGTTCATCTTCTCTGCCTGGCCATCCGTCTGGGGGTGAAAGGCGGTGATGTACTCGAGGGTGGTCTCGTATTCCTTGAAGAGATTTCTCCAAAACTGTGAGAGGAATCGGGAGTCACGATCATTGATGACGTTTTATAGGAGATCATGATGACGGATGACATGGTCGAAAAAGAGTTTGGCAACGTCCTTGGATTGGCAGGTAGTGGTGCAAGGGATGAAATGGGCGCGCTTGGCAAGGCGGCAAACAACGACATAGATGAAATTGTGACCATGGTTGGTCGTGGGGAAACCACAGACGAAGTCCATAGAGACAGATTGCCAGCGGTGGGTGGGTATGGGGAGAGACTGGAGTTTGCCAGCCTTAGCTTGGTTGGAGGGATTGACGGCTTGGCAAGTAGGGCAAGAAGGGTAGGCTTTGACGTCGACAAGGAGCGAGAGCTAGTAGAGGTAACAAGAGATATTGTCAAAGGTTTTATGGAAACCGAGGTGTTCGGCAGTCTTGGCATCGTGGTGTTCAACCAAGAATTGCATACGGAGACCACAAACGGAAGGGATGCCTAGGCGGCGAGTTCCTTTGGTGCTGATGTAGAGGAGATGCTCGATGAGGGAATAGTCAGGGACAATGTCGAGGTCGCGGAATTTGGTGTAGGTAGGGGCGAAGTAGGGGCAGGAGGCGTAGCCATGAATGAAGTGATGTTGGAGAGATTGGAGGAGGTTGA